CCACACACACAACGCATGGAAAATGACCAACCTAGCAGCTAGCCCAACTATCTAAAGATACAAAAGTAAATAAATATTCAGAAAATTCCAAAACTGACCACGTGATTGCTGTATTACAGTCATCGAAAAATTTGTAGATGCCGCTCCTAGCCTCCACCCACTAAGGCAACACCAGATAAAGGATTACCATTTCATGATTCATTCCTACTTACTTCAATCATACTTGGCTGTAATAACTGGTTTCCATGTGATTTATTGTCCCTTTGTAAACCTGCATAACCATCTCTTAAAAGAGCTCCCTTCATTGATCTCACCGCATGAATATGAAAAACCTCCCTTTGGTTTATCACCTTGTTATTATCTACAAAATGGAACTTAATATTGTCATGGATAAAAATAAGACTGGACCATTACATTCAACCTAGGTGAAGGCATGAAGCACATGTGTAGTAGCAATCTCATGTGAGGTTAACCTTCCCAGTAGCTAAGACCAAAACCTGACACACCCAAATTTGTTTAGTTTTTTCAATTGAATATGGAGTCTAAGGTTGTAGACTTTGGTGACCTTGAACAGCACTACTTGGAACATGGATAGACCAATACAACACAGGGTTTTTGAAGTTTATAGCTTTAGTATGATAGAATACACCCCTCTAATGCTCATAAAAATAAAGTAGAGTATTGATTATATTGATACACATCGATACCCACTTGTTGGTATCGGGGTGCATCAATATATTATTGATCCTTGTCTTCCCCAAGAAACTCAGATTCCAAATGCAACTTATAAATAATGCAGAAAGAACTACTTGGAGCGGAAAGAATGCTTATCCATTAAAACTCTTTAAAGAAAGTACTCCTCAAAAAGATAAGTACTCTTTATCAAGCACCAAGTTATAAGCTACAGCCAAGTTGTGGTGTGATGGGGTCATGCCATGGAAGACTTCAGTGGGTAGCAAGCTGCACTAGTTTTCCATTTCAGTGATGTTAAATTGTGTTTGATCAGAAATGACGATGCATCAGAGACAACTACAACCAATGAAAACACAATCAAAGAACAATTTGGCAAAGTAAAATGTAGTCATGGGTTCTGAAACCATGGGCTCAACCTGAGCTAGTTCACAGAAATAGTACAATAGCCTAACCACGAGATCAACCTAACAGAGACACCACTAATACCTCCACAAGATAACAGAAACAGCACCTCAAGATGTTCCTGCATTCTCTCTTTTTCTTTTGATTTTATCAGTGTTGCATTCTCTAAATTTCAGCTTCATGAAACCACTCTAATTGCAAGGGCCTTCATATCATAGTTTAAGGTGTCCTCATATTTTCTAATATATCCACAACATATTTCCATTTCCATGGGTACCAAGACAAAATATTTCTGGTATTGACATATCCCCCAGTAAAAATTACCAGCGCAATGTGGAGCATACAAGAAGGTATTATAACATAATTTGGCAATGGTATTATGGACATGGAATGGCAGTTAAACCATCTGCCTAATAGACATGATTACACTTTGTCCCAGCTCAAAATTCTTTTTGAACATGAAGATAAAACTTAGTTTTTGCTTTAGTAATAGATTATTTTGTTGATCAACTACTTGCACTTTCTATGGGTTTAAAATTTGATTGAATTCATTCCATTATGTAGTTTTGACTCTTAAAGTTAACAAGACAACTTCACAGCATTTTATTTTGTCTATTAACCTCTGTTTCTTAGCTTCATTTGATGGTTTGGAACAAGATAATAATTTAAAATGGTGAACCTATGGTTCTTTTGTCATCTCATAAAATATCATTTCATATTTTCACAATGTTTCCCCATGTCTATATTTTGGAGAGAGGCCAAACAACTAGCCGATTCTTTAGCTTTGATAGGAAGCAAAAGGTATACCAAAGATTGTAAATGTTCTTTCTTGAGTAGATTCTGAAGCACCATTGCTTCCTCTAAAATTTACAGAAAAAATAACAGCCATCAACTGTTTGAATACAAGTCCAAAATCCAGATTTTAGATTACCAAGAGAACTAATTCCAATATCTCATAAAAATCAAATAGAGACAACAAAAGAGGAGAAAGGAAGTACAAAGAAAACAGAATTACCTAGGATAACACATGCTCTCAGACCTGGCTGGAGATTCCATCAGACTTTCAGGTAGGGAGTCCCCAACCGTCAATCCATTCAAACTTGATGCCATTATCTACAAAAAAAAAAAAACACTAAAACCCATCACCCAGAAAATAACTAAATAAACAAAATGGAAGCAAAATACGAACAAATAATAAGGAAGCAAGCCACATTCAAGAAAATAGGTACGAAAAAAAACCAATAAAATCCATTGTTTGGAGAGGGGTGTGAAGCAAAACAATAAGTTATGAAGAAACAAAATACAAAAAAAAAAAAAAAAACTATAAATCATCACCTCAAATAGGTTAAATTTATAGGATCGAAAAAAAAATCCGTCAGAGTATAAACTAGCGATGAGAAAAGGAAAGACAAACCTCGCTAAGGTAACGTTTATGGGAGTGGAAATTATCCAGATAAACTTCATCGTCGGGATCTCTGCTTCGTTTCCCACTTGGAGATGAGCTCGACTCCGGACCCATTTCTCCTGCTTTCATCAGAACAACAATGTGGGTTTTGACAGACAAATTTAAGAAAAGAGGGAAATTCTTATATGAAATTTTCTTGCACAAAGAAACGTTTTTTTGTTCCTTTTGTTTTTGTTTTTCATCAATGAAAAAAAAAATTAAAAAAAAAAGAGGGAAGAGAAAAGAAACATCAGCACAGTCTGCAGCACATGAAATTCTAGATGAAAATGGAGAAAGAGGAGTGATTTGGCGATATCCACTGTCCATTAGTAAAAAGACAAAAGCATCCCTAAATTTTTCTATTTATCCTTTCAAAGATAGGGATGACGCATGTCTTTTCACATGGATGTGACTCCATTACACAGTATGGAGATATGGTATCAGCATCCTAGGTTGAGTTGGAATATATATTTCTTGTTTGCTGTTAGTGGATCCCGCCTAACAGGTGGCGGCCGATGAGTGCCGTTTGATGCAGGCATGTAGCAGAGTGGTCGAAGAGAAGGTCAATGATCATATTTTGTATTTAATATGTTTATCATGTAATGAAGTGTGATTTGGCTCCACGTAGCGAGAAGGGAACACGTGCACACAACCTGACCAAGAGATGGCAGCTCAGCCTGATATGCCTAGTTCGCAATAGTTGAGCTCGAGTATTCAATCACCTTGGTGTCACAGGGGTAGTTCTACAGTGGAAGAAACCCGTGCAGCGTCTAGGCCAAGGCAGGTCAGGACAAGCCTTTGTGTGCTGCAAGGCTACGAGTTGGCCGATGAGATAGCTCCACCAAGGTCAGTAGCACTGGATCATGACCTCAAGTCGCATGGTCGGGGCACTCGCCTGGCTCTGGCCGGTCCACGGGAGGCGCCACTTACGTGCTAAAGGGGGACGACCATAATGCAAGGCGACTGTGCGCCGAAGAGGTGACTGGGCACCGATGTGAGGGGTCTCCTGTATGCCGATGA